GGTCAGAGGTAGCCTCAGGTATTAGTCCTTGACTCCCACCTTGTCTTGTTTACCCCTTCGCTGTGTGTGCCAGGCTAGCTGGCCTGTGAGCCTCCAGAGTCTATTGTGTCTGACTGCGACCTCACCGTGAGCGTTCTGGGACTACAGATGTGTGCTGCCGTGCCTGGCTGTAGGTTCTGGAGATCTGAACTCAGGTCTTCCCCTGTGCATGGCAAGAAGCGTTTTACCCTCTGAGCCATTTCCCTACCTATACTCCTTTGCTTCTTAATTTAAGAAAAGAGGGCCGGGAGGCCGTGGCGCATGCTTTAATCCCAGGATTTAGGAGGCAGAGGCAGGCGGATCTCTGAGTTCAAGGCCAGCTTGCTCTGCAGAGTGAGTTCTAGGGCAGACAGGGCTGGGATTTGAAGAGAAACCCTGTCTTGAAATATCAAAGGAAAGAGATAAAGATAGATAGATAGATAGATAGATAGATAGATAGATAGATAGATGATTGATAGATAGATAGATAGACAGACAGACAGACAGACAGACAGACAGATAGATAGATAGATAGATAGATAGATAGATAGAACAAAATCAAACAAAAACTTAAGCCTCTTAGCTTAAGAACAGTGCTTGTTATGTTATTCCCCAATTCAAACAATGGAAACTTAATTTCTTAAAAGGACCTTTATTTTCCTTTACAACTGCTATTAACAATGATCTTTCTAGAGAAGCTGAAGATACACCTAGCTATAACCAATGTCTTGATACTTGTTCTATGCATTTGTTTACGTGGTTGGATTACTCATTTTATACAATTTCATGTTCTGTTTTTTTAACCAAATGGCATATTTGCATCCTCCCCCAGCCCCAAATTAATGAAAATTTGCCAGTTGCCACTTAAAATAGATATTTGAGGCTGGGTTGTTAGAGCTCAGTGGTTAAGTCCCGATGTCCTGCATTCAGTTATTACTTAGCTCCCTGTTGCTACATTAAAAATCTGTGATAGCTGGGCTGTGGTGGCCCACACCTCTCATCCCAGCACCAGGGAGGCAGAAGGAGGTGGATCTCTGAGTTCGAGGCTGGCCTGGTCTACACAGAGAGTTCCAGGACAGCCAGGGCTACACAGAGAAACCCTGTCTTGGGGGTGGAGAAAAATCTGTAATAAATCAACTTAAAAGAAAAGGTTTATTGACCCAGTTGTAGAGATTACAGTTTGTGGTCAGTTGGCCCCATTGTTTCTGGGTCTGTCGTGAGATAGCTTGCTATGGTGGAAGTTGGAAAGGAAGCCGCAAACTTCACAGTGGCCAGGAAGTCAAGAGAGATGGGAGGGGCCAGCGTCCTGGTGTCTTCTCAGGAGGAAGTCATGCCCCCTTGGCCTGACCCTTCCGTCAGGCAGCCTCACAGCTTACACTTCCCAAGAGTACCAAGCTGAGGACCAAGCCTTCAGTTTATGGGCCTTTGTAGAACATTCCAGAGCTAAAGTATAGCAGACCCCAGCACTGTGTACACAGGAACATATTTATGGGGTACTGTGTGATATTTACACGCACATACATATATACATAAGTATATGTGTATTATAATGTTCAAGGCTAAGTATGTCTAGCTCCTCAAACACTTATCATTCCCTTGAGATGAAAACATTCAAAATCCTGTCTTCTAGCTAAAATACATTCATATACACTGGGGGCTGGAGAGATGGCTCAGAGGTTAAGAGCCCTTGCTGTTCTTCCAGAGGTCCTAAGTTTGAGTCCCAGCACTTACATTAGGTGACAGAGAACTGCCTATAACAGATGTTCTCAACCTGGGGGTCGAATGACCCTTCCACAGGGGTCGCATATCAGACATCCTGCATGCGCAATATTTACATTATGATTCATAACAATAGCAAAATTACAGTTATGAATTGGCAGCGAAATAATGTTATGGTTGGGGGGTCATCACGACACGAGAAACTGTATTAAAGGGTTACAGCATTAGGAAGGTTGAGAACCACTGGCCTTCAGGGGACCCAGCACCCTTTTCTGGCCTCCACAAGCATGTACACTCATACATATAAGTAAAAATAATAAAAAATAAACCTTAAAGAAACAGACGGTCCAATATTACTATCTATAGTCACCCTATACCAGATAGCTGCCATTTTTCATTTTTTGTGTGTTATTACTGTTGAGTGTTTGTACACGATGTGGAGGAGGGGGCACATACCAGGGCATACTTGTGGAGGTCAGAGGACTGCTCTGGGGAGTTGGCTCTCTCCTTCCACTTTTATGTGGATTCTGGGGCTCAAACTCTGGGAGCCTTTCCCACACTGAGCCTGTTTGGCAGCCCTAGCTCTTTTTAAAAAAACTGGGTGTCAACACCCTAGCGGGCCTGGAACTCACTCTATAGACCAGACTAGCCTCGAACTCACAGAGATCCACCTGGCTCTGCCTCCTGAGTGCTGGGATTAAAGGCACGTGCCCCTGCCACCCGGTTTCCCAGGCTGATTTTTAAAGACTATGGTATGGTACAGGGAATGAACAAACACCTGGTACCCAAAGGTTTTTTTATCTGAACTCTGGAATTTTCCCTTAGGCCATAGTCAAGGAATGAAGGTAAATGCATACATATTTTAGGAACTTGTTGCTATTGTCAAAACTGTGGTTTTCAGACTCCTACTGGTAGTTATCAGAGTGCTTATCTTTTGGGACCCTCAAAGGCAATAAATACTAGGGATTAGGGGTGTGGCTCCCCTTAATGCTAGAGGCTATAAGGCTCCAGGTAGTGTTCAGGGCTAAGGATATGGTTGATGGAACATTGCTTAGCATTCCTGAGGCTCGCTTTCTTTCTTTGTTAATCTGATCAAAGCCTTCGTATCATTCTGGGTGTGCAGTCTCTGCAGGCATCGGTGTGTATACGTGTGCACAAAAGTGTGCAGAAGCCACAGGTTGACACCAAGTGTCTGTTGTCACTCTCCACCTTGGTTTTTAAGACAGGAACCTGAAGTCCATTGATCTGGCTAGGCTGCCTCCATTGATCTGGCTAGGCTGCCTACCATTGAGCTCAGGGGACCCCTTCCCGTTGCTGCCTCCCTAGAGATGGGGTTACAGACACGATCTACCATACCCAGCTTTTATGTGGGTACTGGGAACCCTAATTCAGGTCCCCGTGTTTACATGGCAAGCCCTTCACCAACTGAACCATCTCCCTCACCCCCTAACTTGTATTATTACTAATGCTTCCTGTGTTTTTAAGCATTTACGTTTCAATGAATTGTAAGACTGTGAGTGCCGTGTTTATTAAGGATATTACCACTCGATTCGCATTTTCTTGGTATTGCATTGAATGAAAATAGACAAAAACTACCAATTATTTGTGGTATACCGGCTATGTATGATATAACACAGGCATCAAAAGGGACACAAAAGTCCATGTCTTTTGCATCAAGATCATGACTTCAGGAGCTAGTGAGATGGCTCTGTAGGTAAATGTACATGCCGCCATGCCTGGAATGGCACGGAGTTTATCTAGCAAGGTGGGACAGAAGGTCATCTGTGGTCTGCCAGCAATATCCTGAAGTAGAAATGACTTGTAAGAGAAGACTCTATGTGCTGACTGACTTATCTTGCCTAAATTCTACAAATTGGGATTAGCTTTTCTATTTTCAAGGTGAGAAAACTGAGGTGTAGAAAGTTGAATAAACTTGCCAGGGTCGCCTATTTGAGGGATAAGGCTGAGATTTGAACTTGGGCTTTCCAAATCCAAATGCCATCACACTGACCCCAGATGATGTGAACCTTCCAGAGGATAGAGGCCTTCCGTGGTGGGGCTCACTACACCATACTTCCCCAGACCTTGCCAATACGGAGGGTGACAATGTTTCAGAAAGCGACACACCACCATTCTGTGGTTCCAGGCCATCTACAGACGACGCTCACTTCTGGATGGAATCCGTTCTCATCATTGTTTTGCTTTGTCAGAGAGAAAGGGCCCAAGGAAGAACCTCAGAGGACTAAAGAATAAGTAAGAAAGACACAAAAACAGATGTGCCATGATGGGGAGCTCGGGCAAGAGGCGGCACATGTGTTTCCCGGGCAGACAGAGTGGAGTGGGGCTGGCACCTTCAAGACGACAGTGTGAGGATGGCAGTGCCCTTAAAGGGGACTCCTATCCTGGGGGGTGCATGCCAGTCATTCCAGTACTTGAGGCAGAAGGATCAGGAGTTCAAGGTCATCCTCTTTTGCAGAGCAAGTTGGAAGCCAGCCTGGCCTATATGATAGCCTGCTTTAAGAAAAAAAAAAAAAGTCTCGGGGCTAGTGTTTGTCCTGGACAGAGAACCTTCTGGAACAAGAGGTGCTTCTGTTTCCCTGAGAGTTTGCCTGTGAACTAGAATTTGCCCTCCAATCTCAGGTCTAAGCAGACTTGATTTAGCTAGTGCTGCCTCAGAGGCGGGCTTGAAGCAGGCTATGTAGAGTAGGCCTGTATCCTATGTGGATCTCATGCATAGACCAGGGGTACTTATATCCTATATGGGCCTGGCTGGGACCAGGGAAGAGACAAATGGAGTAGCGTTGTCAAGTCACAGGACTCTGGACACTTAATTCATGTTTCTGAGACAGTCTTGGGAAGTAGCCTCGGCTGTCCCGCACTGCCTTAGCATCCTGGGTACTGAGACTGAGATTCCAGGCAGGCACCGCCATGCCTGCCCGGCCCAGCTTTCCTCATTTATAACTTGTGTGAAGGCTTATCCCTGAATTACAGGAACACTTGTCACAGACCTCGCCTTAAGATCTCTCAAAATGACACGATGCCAGCATCTCCTACCTTCTCACAGCCCATGCATGAAAGAAACTTCTAGAATGGAAGCAGAGAAGACGATGCTGGGAAAATCCAGAGCTCTACCCCCAAGCCTTCTTCACGCCCGCCGCCGCCCCCCCCCCCCCCCGATACTTTATTGTTATGTCTGTCATTTATTGTCACCGTGAATGTCATTATTTCCTTACACCACAGATCTGGGAGCCTCTTGAACATACAGCCCCTACGGAGCACACGGTCTCCAGCGTGTTTCAGTTCTGTTTGCCCAGGTGAAGAACTAGGGCACGCAGGGAAAACTCACAGGTTGGCACTGAACTTGAAAACCATCCCGTGTATCATTCATCCGCACAAATACGCCTAGCAACCCACGAGCCCATGCTTCTGGGAAATGAATAGCGGTGGGCTGGGAGTCCCGCTGAGATCAGAGACAATCCTGAAAAAGATAGCAGCCATGTGTTGTCGTCCTCATTGGGCTTTCCCACACCGCTGGTAAAGTCCATATAAGAACAGACCAGTGTCTAATCATCTGGCTCCCTCTTCCACTTTGAGGCTTCAGTCTCAGGAAACAGCCCTTGGTTACCTGTGAGATGTGGTCAAGGAGGCCAGACGTTTTCGAGTATTTCCTCCCGGGTGGTTTGTGGAGATCAACGTTAATGCCGCAATCTTTCTGTTCAAAAAGGAGGGTCATCTAGTGGTCTTTATTGTGATTGCTGTTCTTATCACTTGTGTAGTCTATCACAAAACAAAGCGGGGGGGGGGGGGGGGGGGGGGGGGGATGTTGGGGGCGGGGAGCGCTGGCCAGAATGTTCCTGATAAACGACAGGCCCGTGCACCTTCAGTCTGGGAGCTGGGGAGAGTGCACTGTGTGTGATAACTGGATCTTCTGTTGACATTGAACCCCGGAGAGTGTGCAGCCCCGGCTAGCAGGCCTGAGCCCCGGCAGCTGGTAAAAGACAGGAAACCCATCTGACCATCCGGAAGCTGCTCGTTAGGACTGCTAGAAATGTCTCCTCCAGACAGCACTCTTGGAGAACGGAGCTGAGTGTTCTGGAAAAGTGTGGGTGGTGCCGGGCATCGGCCACACTGTCCTTCTGCTTCATCAAGGACATTTCTGGAGTGCGTGGGGGCGGGGAGTTGGCCATCAGAGCCGATTCAGGCTCTGTTGCTGTGTGAATCTGGGCAGGATTCTCTACCTCCCTCAGCTTCAGTTTTTACCATCTGTAAATAGGAAGAGCTGGACTGGATGGTCTCGAAGGGTTTCCAAGCTCTTCCAGCTTGTGAAGTGACTGGCAAAGTTGGTTTATCCCTGGGCCCAGGCTTCTGAGGCTGGTGTGCACCCAAAGAAGCTGTGTGGGTAGTTGGGGTGGATGGAGGGGTGTAAACAAATGGTCTTAGTGGGAACCAGCCACTTTTTGTAGCCTGGCTAGGCATCAGCTTCCTCACTGGCAAGTTAGGAATAATGACCTTTGTACCCAGTGTCTATCCTTGGCCCTGACCAATGAGATGATCATGCTGACCCATATGCTGGGCCCACTTTTCTTGTTTTACGGACATTCAAGTCTCATCCAGAATCCTGCTTGGTGGGTGATCCTTTTTCTTTTCTTTCTTTCTTTTTTTTTTTTTTTTTAAGATTTATTTATTTATTATGTACACAGAAGAGGGCACCAGACCTCATTACAGATGGTTGTGAGCCACCATGTGGTTGCTGGGAATTGAACTCAGGACCTCTGGAAGAGCAGTCGGTGCTCTTAACCTCTGAGCCGTCTCTCCAGCCCGAGTGATCCTTTCTTGGTTTTTTCCCACTCTCAAGGATAATAAGGTCTCAGAAGTTAGATGTCTTGTGCAAAGTCATCAGCTTAACTTGGTGGCATAGATTAGGGAGAAAACAGGTGCCCTTTTATCTCACGGTGATCCATCTTCCACATGGATGCTTGAACACGCCATTTCCAATTGGGCTACACCAGAATTCAAGACTCTGTGCCACTTAGGCCACTCCTAACAGTGAAACAGGAGGAAAAAATAAACGGGAGAAGATCCTGGCAGGTGACACACTAGATAAAAGCTAGAGAATTTATAAGGAATGTCGGAAGCTCAACAGACACACAAAAAAACCTTGATTTTTAAAATGTACAAGAGACTTGACTAGGGAGGGCGGGTACAGCACTTGCTCGATCCCTCAGGCTGCAAAAATAACAACAGAAGAAAACACAGCTTCATCAGCTACACTTACGGACTGAAAACCCAATAGAGATCCTGCCTGGTACCACGTCCCAGAAAAGTGCTCTAGAAGCTAGGGGAGGGAGTGCAGCAGCTGGGAGGCTGAGGTAGGAGGATGGAGAGTTAAAGGCCATATACTGACCAAAAGAAAAAGAAAGTGAGAGTTGGGGGAGTAGGGGTATTTCATCTCATATGCAAGAGGCCAACAAACGTATGAAACTCAAAACCATTGTTATATGCTACTTTAGGATCCTTACGGCAGCTGCTTCCAAAAAATCCAGGAAAGGACGGGGCGTGGGGTGGCATGGGGTGGGGGTGTAGCTCCGTTGGTAGAGTTCTTACCTGGTTCTCATGCCCAGGACGGGAAGATCTCTGGGGATCTCTAGGCCAATCAGCAAGCTCCAAGCCCCAGTGAGGGACCACAGCTTAAGAAACAAGATGGGAGGCTCCTGAAGAACTCCCAGATGGGGATCTCACTCCTGGAAGAGGGGAGCTGCTCTTTTACAGCCGCTAAGGGGAAGCTCTTCGGTCCTTTCCTGCAGGCCGCTTGTGTGGAGTCCATACCTGGGTGGATGGCTGGGCTCATCACTCCTGCTGAGGAACGACAGGAATAACATTTATAGTATAAGCTGTTTTTTTGTGAGATTGGCTATTTCTGGAAGGTGCCATGGCTTTAGGCGTTTGTGTAAGACATCTTAGGTTGCTAGGGTCAGGCTCCAAATGGTCACGATCTCATTGATAAAGTATAGGAATATTGCATTTTAGTTTCAAACTTTTGCCTCTACAGACAGGTGAATGACTGATGAAAATGTGGTGTTTGCCTATGATAGAATGCTACTCAGTTCTGAAAAAAAAAGAGTCCTAGGGATATAGCTCAGTGGTAGAGTATATTCCTAGCAGTCATCAGGCCCTGGGTTCAGTCCCCAGTGTGGCAAAAATGAACGAGTAAAAAGAGAACCCCGACATTCTCCAACATGGATTGACCCTAAGGACATTCTACAAGGGAAATAGACATTCACAAAGGGACAGATGTTTTCACTGGTAAGTCCCCATCAGACTACTAGTGTTGTTCAATTCACAGGGACAGAAAACAGAATGGATCCAGGGGCTGGGGTAAGCTCAGTTGGCAAGTTCTTGCCATGGAAACACAAAGACCTGGGTTCGAATCTCAGAAACCACATACAAAAGCTAGTGTGGCTCCCCTGGTCACCCCAGGGCTGAGACGTGGAGACTGGTAGATCCCTGGGGCTCCGAAGTGAGAAAACCTGTTTCAAACAAACAGGTGTGTGGGAGCCCGTTTTCGGGTTCCTCCTGGCTTTACCCAGCAGGTCCACATAGAGGATGATTAGGACCACAGGCCTGAGTGCAGGTATTTGAGATGGTCTGCACTTGGCTGTGCTGGGGGAGAGGTCTTTTGCTCTACCCCTTGTTGTCTCTATAAAAACCCTGGGGCAGAGGCAATCGGGGCCGTTGGAAAAGGTTCCAGGCCCTCTTGAGGCTTTCCTTTATTTTTTGTCCATTTATCTCCACAAGATTCTCCGCAATAAATCCTTCTATCTAATATTTCCTGCTGCCCACACTCAAGAAAACTCTGGGGAACTGTGGGGTTGGTGGGTAAACGCCCCACACAGGTGGATCTGATGCGGGAGAATGGAGAATTGTTTCATGGGCGGAGAGAATGGGGAGTGTTTAGTAGGTAGAGTCAGTTTTTTTTTAATGAAAAGCGAAGATGGATGTGGTGATGGCTGTGAATAGATGTAATACCACTGAAGTACACTTTAAAAGAACTAAAATGAGAAAGTTTGGTATTGCCTAATTTAAATGTAAAATGTTTCTCTGTGTGTTTGGGTGCTTTGCCTGCAATACGTATGTCTGTGCACCATGTGTGTGCAGTGGCTGCAGAGCCAAGAAGGAGACACTGGATCTCCCTGAATTGGAGTTGTATATGTTTGTGAGCTACCGTGTGTGTGTGTGTGTGTGTGTGTGTGTGTGTGTGTGTGTGTGTGTGCTAGAATTGAACTTGGGTCCTTTGGAAGGGCAGTCAGTGCTCTCAACCGCTGGGTCATCTCTCCAGCCTCTCCCCACTTTGAAACAGGGTCACACCAGTTGCTCACGCTGACCTCCAGCTCCTTGGCTCAGGCTACTCCCCCACCCCCACCCCCCACCTCCAAGTAGCAGCGGGTGCTACAGGTGTAAGCTATTGTACCCAGCTTACATAAATTTTACCGCCATTTTACAAAAGTTTTGTGAGCGTGTGTGGGCACGGGGTATGTGTGTGCACATGGCACCGTTTTCAGATCTGCTCACGCCCTCACCACTGGTCATGCTGATGACTTAGCAACAATCACCTCTTTTTTAGGGGTGTCTATAAATTGAGGCTCAGAAACAGGCATCCTCATATTCTTCGGATTTCTGGAAAACTCCATCTCTCATCAAGCATGCCGTTAAAGTGCCATTTTCAAAGAAATGAAAATTTTACCTAAATCAGATTAAGGGCATGTCCGCTGCTGCATTTTTCTGCGAGTGGGTAGAGGGAAGATTATCGGATTTGAGGCATATGTTGGGGTGGACGGCCTTCACAGCAAATGCACTCTTCACCTGGGGGGTCGTCTCTAGGAAGCTGGTCGTTATCCTGAGCAGCAGAGCTGAGATGCTAGGAGAGGCCCACATGGCTGCTGTCGGGGGAAAGAGGTGAGCCAGGCATTCTCCAGAGAAGATCCACGTAAATTCGGGTCTCGGCTTCAACTCAGCCGGCAGGGTTGGTGCTTGAATTATGGGTTGATTTTTGTTTTTTTTTTTTTTTTTTTTCAAGACAGGGTTTCTCTGTGTAGCTTTGCGCCTTTCCTGGAACTCACTTGGTAGCCCAGGCTGGCCTCGAACTCACAGAGATCCAGGGGTTGAGTTTTGACTGAGCTGCTTTGCAAGGGCAACTCTAGATGCCTGCTCTGGAGTGAGCGGCAGATTTGGAGGAAGCAGGAGAGCAGGAGGAAGAAAGAGGAGGAGAGGGTCGGGAGAGAAGACAAAACGAATGCCCTACCCAGGAACTGTGATAAATGCATAGGTCCTAGCCTTGACAGAAACCCGCTGGAGCTCCAGCCGTGGCTAAGAAGACCGTGGATGATTTTAATTTACTTTAAATTTCTTTTTCATAGTTTGCATTCTGAGCATTTTAATGTCAGGGCACAAATATAATTAAAAGTATTTTTCATCACCGACAGTCTTGTGGGTAGTTATCTAGAGTCTTCTAATTATGTTTAGGAAGTAATTATGCA